AATTACCGTTGCGAACAAAACAATACCTATAAGATGCGACTTATGCGTTATTCTACATGATCTTATTGCAATTCCAAATGATTAATTACTATCTTATGATATATTAGCAATTAATATCTGCAATGTACTGACGATCGTTAGCCAGCTAACCTATGTGAAAAATATTTGTCAGAAGATTAATGAACCGAGCTATAAACTATTAATAATAATATTTTTTCAGAAGATTTTCTAATTACTTTTAAAATCAAACTTGAGGTTAATGTCATATTGTTATTGAAACTGTCAAAGAAACATTGGGATATAAACTCTTTTAAAACAAGTGACAATAATAAGACTGATTACAAATAATCCTTTTTAACTTCCCGTAGGGTAAGTTATTCTAATGGGCCGAAAATCGAAATTGAAAATTTTTACATTTCTCGACGTTTTGAAGGTTTCTGAACGTTTTGGCATACCTCAGAAAAAATGGATGTGTGTGTGTGTGTGTGTGTATGTATGTGTGGATACAAATTTCCAGTCACGTTTTAGGGCGCACGGATCAACCGATTTGAATGGTTCAAAAAACATCCGATTCCTATTGATAGGGAAAAGAGCTGATTAGTTTTTGGCAAAGGCAGGTCCAGCCGTTTCGGAGATACGGAGCAAAGAGTGCAGAAAATAGAAATCGTATTATTGAGAGAACGGAGTATCCGATTTGAATGATCTAAAAAACATTCAATTAGTAATGATTGGGAGAAGTGTTTATTAGTTTTTGGCAAAGACGGGCCCAGCCATTTTGAAGATACGGAGCTAAATATGTAAAAAATGGCAGTTTTTGAGAGAACTAAGCGTCCGATTTGAATGATTAAAAAAACTTTCTGTTTGTCTTAACAAAATAATCGATTTAGGAAAAAAAAAAATTTCTATTTTTTTTTTATTTTTTTTTTTAGTTGTTTGTTTATCGAAAATATTTATTTTTAATTCTGACTATAGTTCTAATATACTTTACAAATAATTTCAATTCTGCAATTGAGTTTATATAATATTTATAACTATTAGACAATGTTGCAATATTTACAATAATCTATTTGAAAACATTCAGTAATCCTCGAACATTCCGTTACGGTACGGGAAGTTCCAGCAATTTGCCTTAAGGCACGATGCCACCCACCCCACTAGTTTTTTTCATTTATTAATATATAAATAAAATACTTCCATACATACTGTATCTCAACCAGAAGCATTGTCTGGTGTAACACGTAAGAAATCACAGCTCCTACTGATATTATTGCAAATCTGATTTGCAGATTTTACGTTTTCTCAACGATTAATTATGAATTGAATCAGAGCAAATTTGATAAAAGTACGTGTCTGTGCGCATGTGAAGCGATTGTTGACCTTTCGTCGACGTTTTCTCAAAAACGGCTAAACCGATTTCAAAAATTTAAAAGAAAGGGTAATGAAAAACACTATAAGTATAAAAAAATTGTCTAGTTTGTGAAAGCTCATATTCTGAAAGTAGGGGTGGCGTAAAACAGATCAAGTGCCAAGGAATATGCAGTTTCTGATTCCATGTAAAATGCGCAGGTGTTAGTCACCATTATATTTTTCATCATTGTAATGATGATTCCGACTAGGTCTCAGTATATTAATACATAATTACAGTAATATTTTGACTGATTAATAAAATTATAAATTTATTACAACAATTAGTCGTGACAGCAAAAGTGATCGCACAGTTGAGTTTATTTCTTGTTAATTTTTTTTTTATTTACATTAATGAATTACAATTTGTCGTTATAAACTACATTCAGTAATTTTAATGGTTTGTTAAATAAGAAAAAAAAAGTTGGAATGTGGTGATCCGATTCGAGGTTGGATATGTTTAGCTTATAGATACAATCCTGATGTGAAAAAATTTAAATAAAGCCTACGAGTGATTGTACATGTTATAGGATTACTAAAGAATATCAAAAAGGGGACGTTTTCTTCTGAGCCGTTCAATGCCATGGTTTTTTATTAAGTTTTTAGCCACGATGTTTGGGTGATTCTGTATTCTATTCTTGTATCTCTGACTGAATTTTGCTATTTCTTCCTTGACAGCGTTTATGTTCAAATCAGTATGAACCAACCAATTTGGGACATACTTGGGTGAATTTATAATTTATTTCAAAATCTTGTTTTGAAATCTTTGAATTATGGCGATGTTGGATTTGCGCGCCGTTTCCCAAAGCTGTATTCCGTACGTCCAATTTGGTTTTAACATGAATTTGTATAGAAGAAGTTTCTTTATACAAGTATGTTTTTGCCATATTATATTCATAAGCTTCGTGATTGTTTAATTACGTTATGTTGTGTTATGTTACCTACTTGACAATAAAAGTCGTTATAAATCATTTTGGTTTTTATACCTATTATTAACCTACGTTTATGGCGTGGACGGTTGTGACACTTGTCTAATTTGATGTTATGACTAATGCAGCGTATTTATGGATACAATTTCAGTATTTTTGCGGAGACAAATGTTCAAATCGATTTTATTTACATTTTTTGCAGCAAACTGATAAATAAACTAAATTATTGCTGAACAAAAAGTGGCACAATCATATCCGGTCTCACCAACATTTCGCATATCACTACACATTACTCGACAAACATTTCTTGACGTTTGCATTATATTACTGTAATGTTTGATTTTCAATGCATTCTAATAAAATAATGATACTTGTATTATAAATATTTTACAATATAACTATACTTTCATAAATAGTTTTTCACATGGAAGTGTCAGTAACCAACTTGCACTTCACTTATTTTTCCTTTCCTTTTCACTTTAATTTATGAAAAGATTTATTAGGCTTAATAAAATAAATGAAAGCTTACATTGCCGGTTTGTCATTGTTGAATAAGTCATTGATATTTTGCTGCATTGTGCCTTTAACAAATCATTTTTCTGATTGTGAGTGCATAGTTGTTGTTTGATCTGGGGTTATTGTTCTTTTAGCATTCCTCGATGTGATGATATTTCAAATAGCTTCTTCTGTCGCAGTATCAATTGCGCCTTTTCGCAGTTAATTGCGGATGCGCAAACAGAGATCTCATAATAAAATTTCTCATAAAAGTGCATCGAAGAATAGCCCGGCGCGCGCCAAGAATGCCGCGGACTCGGATCATGAAAACATTCGCCAGTCTTAAGGTTTATATTCGCGATTAATTGTAGTAGAGACCATTATATGTATTTTATTTTACCGGTATGGACTTCCTTATTATTGTGTTTTAATTTAAAACTATACGCAAAACAAAGCGGGTACTTCATCCTTCTCCACAATAACTACGAATTGCATCCGTACAATGGACAGGATGCAAAATGAACAGCTTTTATATGACTAATAAATATATGAGGAGCAGAACAAATTTAATACAATGAGCACGTAGTGTACTGGAAACAATCAAAACTCTATATGATTTTTCGTGATATCAAATTTCAATAAAATGTTGAAAATACACACGTAAATTGTGAAAGGACATAGCTCATAGGTAGCATGTCCGACTCGCATGCCGGAGATCGTTGGTTCGATTCCACGCACTTCCTAATACAATAATTAATTGTAATAACGAATTTGTATATAATAATATAGAATTGTAATTGAATAAGTTAGTATGTACGAAATAAACAGTATCAAGCTAAAAAATTCGTCATAATTAGAAGAAGACGCAATAGCATTAGTAGAAAAAACGAAGAAGATGGATTCAGAAGAAAGAAGAATGAGTTAAAAATGAGGATAATGTAAAACGAATTAATAGAAGAGCTGTTCTGAGCCTGATGACGGTTGGTTATGACTTATGATTAATTTGTTTCCTTTGATATCATGCCTTATGTACTCATTTCCCAAAAGACTTGATTCAGAGATCTTGGGTTCAAGACCCACTTCCAGCAGCCTGTTGTCAAGCAGTGGTGATAACGGTTTTCACTTGGAAATTAGATAGCAATATGTTTCCAAGTGAAAATAGCCCTTGCTCGGCATTGTTGCACCAAGAAAGTCAGCCCTATTACATTCATTCTAATAATAAAATCATCAAACATGGGTGGATTAACCATTGGGTTACTATCTAAAAATACGAAGTAAAAAGAAGTTGCAGCTCAACAGCTCTTAGGACATAAGGTTCTGATTGCTGTTAAGAGATGAGAATATAATAAAAAAACATATGAAAAATGTTCCAAACGTTATACTTATAAATTTTATTTCTTAATAAACAGTATATTTGTATGTTCCTACCCTATATGTCGTTTGTCCATACTATATGGATAAAATGGTTTTGTGTGAATAGTTGCATTTTTTCTTATTAAATATATTATTATACATAGTTCCTACTTAATTTTAAGACAACTATTCAATATGTGTAAGATTATAAAAAGGATTGAGACTGATTATAATATGATGAAATAAATAAATATCATTAAAAACAAATTACCATGTCTTTTTGTCCTTACTTCCCCTATTTTGTTCAATAAAATTTTGAAGCTAAATTTTGCATAACCCATTCAGCAATCGAAAATTTGTCTACCTACATTCAGTTTATTTGTGCAATACAACAATTGAGCAAGTTTACATTTATGCCAATCATGTACATATACAGGACCGAATTTGATAATTATCTAAAATGTTGATTAATTAATATCTAGTAGTGTAAAGTGGTTTTTGAAATAAGAATTAATAATTAATTGAAAACAGAATTTGTTTCTGGATGAAATTTCAATTAGAGAAAATGAATGGTAGGTTATGCATACTAACCGAAATAAACGCAAAACTAGTCAACATATAACAAGTAATATTTGTAACTTTTAGATCTTGTAATGAAAATTGAAGAAAGATCGAAGAAGTCTGCATTACACTAGGAGAATATATCTAAAATTTAAATCGAAATTTGTATAAATTAATGTTAACTTATTTTATTGGAGTAATAGAAGAATATAAAAAATATATAAATAAAAAGTGTAATATTATTGTTTTTTCTTTCAGGATGGTTTTCCTTGGTCAGTGACAAAGGTGACGCCGTTGCAGCAGTGCACACGACGCTGATGCAGTTGGTTCGAGAACGAGTTTACAAATTTGTTTCAACTGAACCTTTTGCAGCCTACTCGGAAACGCTCGCAGGTAATTTCAATTCAAATTTAATAAAATATTCCGACCGACATATTTAAAATTATATTGTAATTTAGATTTAGTCGTGTATTAGTGGCTAGAGGTATGAGATTTCAATCAGAGATCAGGTTCGATACCCAACTTGAGCATCCTGATGTCGGTAGTGACATCGATTTCCATTTGGATATGTAGATAGCAATATGTTTCCTAAATTTTGTTTTGTTTTATTTTATTTTCAATAGCAATCAGAATACAGTGCTATTTTGCTTATTTCATTCACTCACACACATACACACACACTTTCTAACACACATATCAATTATTGTGATAAATATTAAATTGATAGTTAGAGAATCACTCCAAAAAGTGACAATAAGTAAAGTTGTGCTAAGGGTCTTCAATATTACCTTTAATCAGCTTCTTATTCAGTCTTTTTGAAATTGGGGTCTCAAGAAGCTGACTATAGAATTTGAATGATGTTCTAGTTTTTGAAAATGTTTGACACTGTTTATTTTTATAACAATGTGAAAATCGTCGCGTAAGGTCTTTTGCTTATGAACCACGAGGCATTAGTAATCTGTCTCAATATTGTAGATTGAGCACTTTGCATTAGCACAATGTTTGACTTGCTCGCACAGCCTCACAATTGTATGCCATAAGTCCATATTGGTTTTATAACCACCTTGCAAATAGATTAGTAGCTTATTATCGATAGATAGAATTGATTTATGTCCCAGGAGCCAGTATAGTTCTGCGGTACAATTTTTTATAGTTTTTAATTTTGCTATATGATCCTTCCATATCAGTCTGCGATCTAGATGCATACCTAGGTATTTGATACAATCAGTACTTGGAATTGCTTGGCCATAAAAATGCACTCTTGGTCATGTTGTCTTGTTGAGTGTAAATGTTATATGGTTAGACTTGCTCTCATTTATTTTTATTCTCCATTTTTATGTCCAATCCTCTATAGCATTCAGATGCCTTTGTAAAACTAACTGCTATATCATCAGCAAAGGTTGCAGTTGTGGTTGATTGAATAGTTGGAAAATCATAAGTGAAGAGAATATATAGAAATGTTTTCAAATGAAATGAAATGAAGTAGCTTATGTCCTGCATAACTGCATCAATAAAAAAGTCATTGCTATTATATAAATTGTATGATAAAATTTAGCACATAGATAGAACAACAGTTTGGGTTGCCATCTATAAAACCCAGGTAGTTAGTAAAGTCCAATCATCACAACAGCTTCTAGTACCCTTAAGATCTGATCGCTGTTCCAACAATATGAAAAAAATTTAACATGAGACAATAATCAGAACAAAACATTTATCTTTTCTAAATATCTTCAATCTTATCATTTTTGGTTAATTTATATAGGTCGAGCGCAATATATCCGAGGAATGGCACGAGCTGGTCAAGTCTACAGATTATTAGCTGTTTTCCAAGACGGGGCTGGTGATTCCAGTAACGGAAATAATAAAGATGGAAAAGGCCAATATGCACAACTTTTAGGAGACAATCAACAGGTAAAATAAGAAAAAATAGTTACATGTTATTAGTGCACAATGTAAGAAAAATATTATTTATGAACGCCATAGAGATCATTATTAATTCGCACTAATAACAGTAGCCGGTTGCAAAACTATTGAAACATTTATATGTGCTGAAAAATTAACTTCTCATTATTGACTAAAAAAAATTAATGTTGTGACATAATTAGTGTTTCTATATTTTGATATAAATAAAATATTAAATTAATTTCATAATATTCTTTTAAGTTATAAATATTTCACTGTCAACTCTTTACACGTTTGCTTCAGTGCTACTTGCAGTGGTATTTATATCTTTAATAGAACAAGTAGTAAACGTTCAGCATAATGTCAAGACATGCATCAAACAATAGAGTTTCATAATAACTATATAATATCTAACCATATAAGGTAACTTACAACAAATACGGCATAAAATAGCCATAATACCATTATGAATAATACTTATTCCTTACATTATGATCACTAACACAAATGACATATTATTTCAGATTATTTACGTATCACTGTCAACCAAAGGAAAATTCTATGAAACCTCAAGCAGTTTACCAGCGCCTGGAAAGCAGTCAAATTTTGATAAAGATTGCGTTCATAGACTACCAAATATTCTTCAGCATTGTGATTTACCTGTAAACGTGAAACTTATATCAGGTCCGTTACCGGACTGCATGAGTCAAGATTGTTCAGGTAATAATAATAGAAATATTATAGAGCGTGGTCTAGCAAACGATTATTCCGGGTTTCATACCCGCTTCCTCATTTTGTTATCAAGGTACAAGGTTATCAAGGTAGATTTTTACTTGGGATTATAAGACTCAAATCGAGTCACAATAGCCTTCTTGTCAATAACCTTCATTATTCATTAAAGTCTTACTATATTATTTAAAGCAAACCTATTGTAGTTGTTGATATTAATTTTCATTTAAGTTGTGTTTTGTATATTCAGAGTAGAAACTTTCCGATAATCAATTCCAATAAAGTTTGTAAATGATATGATCATGTGTATTTATTCCGTATACATTTTTGATTTTACATAAAATATCTCGCTTTTATTTTATAACCAATAGATAATTGCAGGTTTAATTATAATTTATTATTACTTTGTAAAAACATGAATTACAATCACTATATCGCATTATAGTATGTTATTATTTATAACGCGAATATAACCACATATCACATATAAAGCATTTTTTTATTTTTTAAAAACTTATAAAGTTATAACGTTGGTAAATAAATCAGTTGTAAATTTCATTGCAATATTTTGAATTATTCTCGTATTCATTCATAATTAAGTCAATGTATAAACATTATATAAAAGTAATTTGGCGCTCATCATTTGCTATAATTTTGTCAACATTTTTTAATTTTAATATTTGAATTGTTGTAACTGTTGGTCTAATTTGGCTTCATACTTGTCTGTTCGACAGATGGCAACCCAAACAGATGTCCCATTTTTGTATGATACATTATTATTACAATTTCTGTAATAGAGCGAATATTTTCATTGAAGCAGCAATGCCGGATGAGAGCTATTTTTACTTGAAAACATATTGCTATCTAAATTTTCAAGTGAAAATCGTTATCAGGCTGCTCGAAGTGGAATCAAACCCGAGAACTCTGATTCAGGTTCAGTCATTCTAGCCACTTACCTACAAGCAAGCCCATTTCAACCACATAATTTAAAAAAGTTCAATCATTATCAATAAAAGGGTTGGTTTAGCGGTGGTAGTCCAGTCATTTAAGCCTAAATTAGGTAAGAATCTCGAAATTCGAGATTCCCAACTGTAAGTCTGTAAATACTTACTGACACCTTAAAGTTGTCTCAAAACCTACATAGAGTACGGTGTCAATACCATATGTAGATTTTGAGACAACTTTAGGGTGTCAGTATATAAGTATTTACAGACTTACAGCTAGGTATCTCAAATTCCGAGGTGAACTTACTATAATGACTGAACTATGGCGTAATAAGTTTGGACGAAGGTTTGCACAAACTAGTCCAGAGTTCGCTAGTTCGATTCCAGCCACACCTAAGCCCGACATCAAGCAGTTTTGATGTCAAATTTCTATTTCCATTTTACAAATCATAAAATTTCAACTAATGTAGTTAATTAGTCACAACTCAATTAGACAATTACTGGGTTGCCATCTTTTCAAAAACATATATAATAACGTCAAAACAATTGCTGAAAGTCTTGGTATGGCACATTGTAATTAAAAGTAGAACAACAACTAAATTGTCAATGAAAATGTATTCACAAATTACATTTATTGTGAAATAAAAGTTAGTAACTAATTAGAACTATCTTGGCTTTAGGCGTCGGTGGTAGCGGAAGAGTTAATTTATAAAAACCAATAAAAAGCGTTATTTACTTGATTTATTTTTCTATTAACATTTATTTGCACATTATTTTCGAATAGACAAAATGCTATTGACTTATGAATTTTATATTGGAGATCTATAACATTACGTGAAAATTTGACATCATACTGCCTGATGCCGAGCTTGGCCGAGGTCGGTTTCGAATCCGGGATTAGGGTTTGCTAGCTCACGCTTTTACCACGGCCCTAATGTATTCAATTAATTCAAATTAGCTATCAATCTTCTATCACTTCATAAAAAATAATAATAAATATTTTCTCTGTTTCAGATATTCTCACATTGCAAAGTGTATCCTCTGAACCCATGCTCGTCACATGTTCTCTAACTGAAAATCCTGAAGGCAGCGAACTGCAGTACCAGCTCACCAAGACAACAGCTAGTCCGGACGTCACAGTGTCAAGGTGTATAGTAGGACCAGACACGGAGCATCGATTATATAAATCTGCTTCCGCTCAAAACGTTTTAGCATTCTGCCAGAACAATTTGGATTCATGGTTCCGCAGAATAGAGGTAGTTGATGCCCCACCAGTCCCCGAAAATGACAAATACGAAAATATTTTGAACAAAATCGATGGCTTAAAACTCCTAAAATCCGCGAGTTTTGCCAAATTTTTACGCGGCGATAACAAGCATTCCCCGTCACACGAAAAGGAAGATTCTATCATATTTTTGAGTAAACACGATTTAGAATCGATGGAAAGTGATAACATGAAGAAGAAGCATTCGTCAGATTATAGTTTGGATAAAATGTCTTCAGAAATTTCTAGCAAGATGAAAGTTTTTGAACCTTCAAAAAGAACTAAATGGTTCAAACATTTCAGAATATTAAACACCAGCGAGCAAAAAGATTACAGGCAAGAAATTACTGAAAAATACAGAGAATTTGTTGATCCTTTTGATCCTAATGACAAAAGTAAATCAATAGAAAGATATCAAGATATGGCGAAATTGATTGAGGAACGATTCGGTAAAAAGTTCAGCACCCAAGATAAAACTCCGCCCGTTAAAAACGACTCACTAAAGAAAGTTTTAACAAAAAGCATTTCAGTGCAGACAAATTGTCCTGATAATTCCTTAGACTGTTCTGAGAACGATGAGAATAAGTCAATTCAGCCAGATGTTATTCCTTTAGAAGACTTGAATAAAATAGAAAAATATGATGAAATTTCTGATAGAACTAATTCTGGACAAAAAACTTCATTTTTCACTGAAAAGTTATGTGCAGAATTCCACGTGAAAACGAAACAACTAAGTAAGTCGACTTCGAGTCTCAATACTATATTGCACTTCAGCGTACCACAAAAAATGAATGTAATAGAATTAAGAAAAGAATCTCAATCAAGTGAATCTATCACTAAAGCAACAGTGCATTTTCCAGAACACAAAACAAACGAGGAAGAAATCAGTAATATTCAAAACAGAAAATTGCCTGAAATCGATGACTTGCCTTACAGTACAGTGCGTGATCGATTGGATAATAAAAACCAAACCCAAAAAATCTTTGAAGAAGAAATCTGTCCAGAAGATAATGAGAATATTTACGCCGAGATTTGCGGTGACAGCATCAATTTTGAGAACGGTCTGTTTGTTAACAATAATGAAATTGACGCTATTATTCTTGATACGTCTATTGACGCAGATCCGATAAATCTGAATTCGGGTACTACTTCTTCTTCAAGTAGTGCAGGCAAAAAAATTGTATCAGAGAGTAGCATCAAGATTAAAGTCGGATGCGATGAAGGTTTTGTCGATACCGAAAATATAACAGTCATCGAAAGTGATAATTGTTATATGAATGTTGTAGAATCGATAGATGACACTGAAGCGTTTTACAACACTTTGAAATAATTTATTTCAATAATTTGTTTTTTTTCTGTCTACTCAACAGTTGAGAAATTTTACTGTTCATAAACCATTTTTTTCACTGAAAAACAAAAGTCGAGGAGACAATAATATCTAAATTTGCATCATGAAGGAATATTTATAAATAAAAATTTTGAAATGAATTATAAGCATCAGATTCGAAATAAAAAAAAATAAAATCATTAAACCATATATTTTATATTTAAAGCTAATGTTTATATCTCAATCAAGTAAATAATCAAAATACCAAAGTTAAAAATATATTAAGTATAAATTTATATGCATATTATGTAAAAATACTATATAGTGTAAATATCTTATTTTAACCATATGTGATTAACTATATCTAATGTAGAAAGATTGTAAAGCACTAAAGTGTATAAATATAGATTTTGTATATTTGTATGTGTAAAAAATGTAGGAGTTTTGCCTATAATAAAAGAATTTATATGCTATGCGATTCTAAATTCTAAAACAATAACATAGAATAAGTAAATAATTACAGGTCCAGCCGTTTCGAAGATACGGGACAAAATGGGCCAAAAGTGGTAACTCAATTTATGAGAAAACGGAGCATTCGATTTCATTAATTTAAAAAAAAATTTACTTGTACTGACAACATGAAGAACTACTTAAATGTTTGGGAAGGCAGGTCTGGCGGTTTCAGATATCGAGTGAAAAAAGTAAAAAAAAAACACATTTGGCGGTTAAAAATGATCATTAGATATATGCACATAAAATTTTTATATACATACTTTCTAGTGACACATGTCGTGACACGCACGCGCTTCCAAATTTCTGTTTTGTTTACGATTGTTGGGAAAAAAGTTTAAAATTTTCAAATAATTTCAAAATATAATAAAGTCAATTTTTCAAACATTTTAAATTGATTTTTTCTAAAAAAAATCGAATTGTTTACAGATTTTTCAAAAGAAATTATTTTCAGGTAAGGGTAGTTCCAGCAATTTGCCTTGCACAATGCCATGCACCACTAGTTTACATATTAATTACAACATTTAGTACAATTTTTTTTTAAATTTTTTTTTAACTTCCCGTAGGGTAAGTTATTGTAATGGGCCGAAAATCAAAATTTTTACATTTCTCGACGTTTTGAATGTTTCTGAACATTTTGGCATATCTCAAAAAAATGGATGTGTGTGTGTATGTATGTATGTGTGGATACAAATTTCCAGTCACGTTTTCGGGCGCACGGATCAACCGATTTGAATAGAATTTGAAAACATTCGATTCCTATTGATAGGGAGATGTGCTGATTAGTTTTTGGCAAAGGCAGGCCCGGCCATTTCGAAGATACGGAGCTAAATGTGTAAAAAATGGCAGTTTTCGAGAGAATGATTTAAAGAACTTTCTGCTTTTCTTAACAAAATAATTGATTTTGGAAAAAAAAAATGTTTCAACTTTTTTTTTTCAAAAAAAAATTGTTTGTATATCGAAAATAATTCAGATTTTATTTTTAATTCTGACTATAGTTCTAATATACTTTAAACAATTAATTTTAACTTTGCAATTCAGTTTATATAATTCTTATAAAGATTAGACAATGTTACAATATTTATAATAATCTATTTAAAAACATTCAAAATTCCTCGAATATTTCGTTACGGTACCGGAAGTTCTAGCAATTTGCCTTAAGGCACGATGCCATACACCCCACTAGTTAATTTTTTTTTTCAAAAAAAAATTTTTTGTGTGTCGAAAATAATTTAAATTTTATTTTCAATTCTAGCTGAAGATCTAAAGCTCACTTACATAGTTTAAATAAATAATTTTAACTTTGAAATTCATTTTATATAATTCTTATAAATAAATATTAAATAATGTAACAGTACTTAAAATCTGTTTAAAAACTTTTAATATACCTCGAACATTTCGTTACGATGCGGGAAGTTCCAGCAACATACACCATTAGTTTTTGTTTCGGTACGGAAGGCTTCAGCAATTTGCCTCAAGGCACGATGCCATGCAGTTTTTTAAAAATACCTTTTATAATAAAAGAAAAGCGTATAAATTATTTTTGATGAATTTGGATGGATTTGATTGTATGTAATGTGCTCATATCGTTTTATATGTGTTGTTTGTATAAATCAAACTATATAGATTTATTTGACACATTATTATTAAATTGACTTATTAAGTTGACAAAAGTTTTAGTGCCCACACAAATGTTTTGAAATATTAAATCAGTCCTGAATATGTGCAGAGTAATATTAAACAAACGTAAAAATTAAATTTTGATGAACATTTCTAGATTTTTCAATGAAAAATTACTAAACTTGTTTATATCTCCAATAGAATTTTTATGTTGGTCAATAAAATTTCATGATAAATATTAACAAGTTTTTAGGTTAGGTTACTTACCTTTACTATCGAAGTAATGAAATACTTTGAATCATTTTATCACTTTAACTATTATTTATTCTTGCAGACAGATGCCGACCTTTATTTTCAAAACACTAACAATTTTAATGATATGATCCGACTACAAAAATTTAGCTACCGCCATCTTTTCCGAAAACATGGAACTCGATTTTTAATTCTAATTTAATATAATAATTCAATTGCACTTACATCATTCGTTTTGCAAAGTCTTACGAAGAGCATACCTTGTTGCAGGTGTTACAGTGAAAAATATTATTTTATAATACGAATTCTTGTCAATTTTAAATTTCCGGTATGCAATATGTATGCATTCATACAACAAATAAATTACCCGGTGCACAATTATGCAGTGCTGTTATTTAAAAGATAATGACAATTGCATAATAATTAGAATATATCATAAACATATTCATTAGTCATTTTGTTTTTAAGTGAAAAATATGTGCATAAAGTTGCTGCTGAATAGAAGTCGGATTTTCTCAATAATATAGAAAAGTGAGTACATTGACAAAATTTTTTGGTGTAGATAATTTATATAAATTTGATTTTGTATAGATTTAGTATGAATTTTAATATGTTTTTTAATTAAGAGTGATTATAATAGCTGGTTGAAGATGTGCTCGAAACATCTTTAGATATGTTTTGTTGACATAGAATTGTGTTCTTCAATATGTAACAAAAATAAGCAAAGTTATGTTCTATTTAGTGTAAATATTCTAATAATTTATAATGCGAATGGAAGTTTATATATTTATTAGTTTACAAACTTTAGATACATTATAAAAACATTGTCTCAACTAACAATTTTATTGTAGGTCAAAAAATCTGATGCTAATTTAAGTTTTCTCGATATTTCAAATAATTCTCAATCGTTTGAGGCCAAAATTGATAAATGTATGTGTGTGTATATGTGATGTGAGCCAATATTTAGCATTTTGTTGAGTTTTCTCTAAACTGGCTATTTGACTATCGGCCGAGCCGTTTCTTTACAATTATATATGTATATGCGTGAAATTTTGCATCCATATTTTAGTCTAAAATCCTGAACCGATTTTAAAAATTCAAAAACCTTTCAAAAAGATATTAGTTAGGAAAGTGCTGATTAGTGTTTGTTGAAGATCCGCCGCGCCGTTTCTTCGTGATTAGTTGTGTAAATTTTTCTTTTGACGATAAACCTTTTTGCGATATTTGAGGTCATTATTTCAAAGAACATTCTAAAATATTATGGGGTTACGAAAAGTGGTTTAATAAATAACTAGTGGTGAATTGCAACGTACTTCCCGTACCGTAATGATATTCGAGGAATATTAAATGTTTTCAAATAGATTATTTTTTCAAATACTGTAACCTATAAATATTTACAGAAAACTAAATAAACAAAACTTAATCAATCGAATTTAAAATGAAGGACATTGTCTAATATTTATAAGAATTATATAAACTGAAGTTCAACGTTAAAATTATTTATTTTAAGTATATAGTGAAAAAAATAAAATTCGTAAGGAAAAAAATTAAAATTCGATTTATTGTCGACATTCAACATATTTTTTTTTTTTTGAAAATTAAAAAAAAAGTTTTCTTTTGCCCAAAGCAATCGCTTCATCAGCACAAGCAGAAAGTTTTTTAAATCATTCAAATCGGATGCTTAATTCTCTCAAAAACTGCCATTTTTTGGACATTCAATTCGGAATCTCCGAAACTGCTGGACCTGCCTTTGCTAAAAACTAATCACCAGTTCTCCCTGTCATTGCAAAGATCAGCAACAAAAAGTTTTTTCAATCAATTGCGTACATTTCGTTTAGTGTTTGATGAAAGATTTTTTTTTATTATTATTATTTTTGAACAGCAATCAGAACCTAATAGTCCTATAAGCTGTTGTGCTTATTTTGACTTAATACTAGTCTGTTTGACAGATGGCAACCCAATCAGTTGTCACATCTTTGTATGATATATTATTATTACAATTTCTGTAATAGGGCGAGTATTTTTAATGCTGCAGCAATGCCGGGCAAGGGCTATTTTCACTTGGAAACATTTTGCTATCTATATTTCCAAGTGAAAATCGTACTCACTGCTGCCTGACAACAGGCTGCACGAAGTGGGTATCGAACCCGGGACCTCTGAAACAAGTTCCGTCGCTCTTAACCGCTTACCTACGGGCGAACCCTTGTTGAAAGATGGGAATTTAAATCGAAAATTTTGTTCATATAGTTTTTATTTATTGCTGCATCTCATGCTCACAAAAACTTATCAGCTTTTTATGGCGAAGAAGATTGAAAAACGACAGTGTTAAAATTTGTTGGCTAAATTAAAAAAGCGTCAGTGTTAAAATTATTTGTTCTGGTGATTTTTCTCTCGAAGATGAGATACGCTCCGGTCGTACAGTTCCAGTTGATTACAAAGAAACTGTCTACTTTTACATTCACCACCTAGCCGAACACGATGTCTACATTGAACTACTAACAATTCAGTTGAAGAAAACCGGCAAAAATGGACAACCGAAACAGTGAACTATTCCGACATTGACATCACATATATTTGGCCACTTGGAAAAAATGATTGAAGCTTGGTCGGGATGTTTTGCCATATCCACTATATAGTCCTGAACCTTCCGATTACCTCTTGTTTAGATTTTAAACTCCTTGTATGGTTATCAATTCAATGATTAAGATGGTGTCAAATTGAACCAGATTCAGTTTTTTGCTAAAAAAAAAAACAAAAATTGTTTTAAAAATAGAAAAATGATGCTCCTTGGAAGATGACAACAAATCATTGACGAGTTTAGTTCCATGATATAATCTGTTTTTTAACACACTTGATTTTATATTATTCGATTGCAATTTTATACAATATAGTTGTCATAAACAATAATATAATAATAATTGTTGAACAAGTTATGTTTCATGGCCAACATTACAAATTAAAAATGTCCGATCTTGAACATTAAAGTAGCAGATGCGTAGTTGTGGTAAATGCTTGTTCTATATTCAAATTGACATGAAAAAATACAATATATTTCTCTATAACAATTCTTTAACATTTCCGTTAATATTATTTTCCATCGATCCAACAAATAAACATCGTATTGTTAAATCAACAATTGTGTGAAGATCGCTGATAAATCGCCTATCTTTGATAAAAACTCAACTCTGGTGTTCGTTATCAAAATGAACAGTCTTGTCAAAACATTCGTCGTCGGATTATTTCATTCAAGTTACGAAAGTCGTTCGATTAGCACCGATCAATTAAATTAATTAATTTTTAAGTGAATAATATATGTCTCGTTAGATATTTCTAACATTTTTTAGAATTAACTCGTTGCAGTGTCGGGGTAAATGATGATAGTGCTATTTGGCGAATGTTTGGTCAATAGAAACATTGTGATATCAAAAAATAAAACTTTTTATAAACAGTTTTCGATAAGAACTCATTTAGTGTTACGTTATTGAAGGAAACAATTGTGTTTTTATACTATAACAAAAAAAAGTTATCATCGTCACAAGACAGTTATCACAGTATGTATTTGTTTATTGTACCTTTGCTATCTGCTTTATTAACGCACATGGCTTTTGTGTCGTGCGATTGCATTTTAAAATTATCAACAAATGCAAATTATTCCAATTCAATGTATTTAATACTCATCGTATTTAAAATTAGTTCCATTTAAATATGGTATAAATGTATGAATATCAAAGACTTCGAATTAAAAAACATATTTAATCCATACTCAGGGCCGGTCCTGGGGTCCTTAGCGCCCGCATGCAACTTTTTTTCTAGCGCTAAAACTAAACTAAACAGTTTGGGAACCTTTGGTTTAGACAATGATCTTTTTTTATATGCAAAGTTTCATTAGAATGGTAAAAAACTCCCTGCTGATTTTTGTCAAAATCTAATCGGCATGAATCCTAAATGATATCTTTTGAACAATTTTTGACTTTTCAAAATTGATTCTGGATTTTTTGCTAAAATATGTACTAATCAATAATATATCAATATTAACTCCTATCGCAGGTTATGTTTAACAATAATTATAAAACAGAGACCATAATACATAGAAAATAATTATAAAATTATTTAAAATAAAACTTACAAAATTGGCGCCAAATGTCGATACCTAAAAATTTACTTATTACTACTACTTTATTTTGTCATTTCAATTTTAAATAATAAATGTAAAAACTTAACATGTACTTTTGTTTTGAATGTATGATACCAAACTTTAGTACAGTTAGAAATTCTTAAAAAAAAATCTATATGAGGAGTCCACGACATAAAAAATTTTGGGATTCTTTGGTTTAGACAATGAACTTTATCTATATGCAAAGTTTCATTATATTAGAAAGGTAAAAAAAGTCCCGGCTGATTTTTGTCAAAATCTAATTGACATGATTTCCAAATTATGTCTTTTCAACAATTTTTGATTTAAAATTATTCTGGCATGTTATATGATAATTATGAAGAAACGGCTCGCTCAGTCTATAGTTGCGCAATCTAATCAATCCTTTTATTGTAGTATGTTTTACTTTCTTTTGATTTTTTACATTAAGTTTCATTTCCATATACAAGGCATACATTTGATTTTTGCGCATCAGTTTCCGAGCGCTATTTTCAGTTAGAAAAATATTATTGGCCTCTATTTTCAAATAAAAACCGATATCGTTGCTGTATGATGCAAGGTAGATTACGCGTTTAATAAATATTTCGACGAATAGCAAAATGTTCAAAATATTAGAATTAAAATGTCTTGCCGAAAATATTTTTTGCGCTAATCTATAAAAAATCGCCTGAAAAATGAGAATAATTTTGATATCTGACAAACAAAGCATCAAACTGAAGCATTTCTAAAATGCTGTGTTTTCAAAATTCTTTATAAAACTATCAGAACATTTTCGTTATAAAACAAGTGTAAGAAAACATTTACTATTAAATATTTTAAATTCCAATCCAAGTTTATCAACGTTTCATATGCCTTGGTGAGATGTACCATCCAATGATCAACCGTGAGTACTGATAAGATATATATATATATATATATATATATATATATATATACATATATATATATATATGAAGCATTTAAAAAATCAGAGGAAAATTTTCTCGTTTTTCTACAATGTAGGTAAACATTGTTTGTTTACCCTAATAAAATATCAATCGCGCGTCACAAATTATACGTGAATACCTGTCTATCTAGTTATCTCCAATCTCATAACTTTTTCATGACGTTAAAAGGCGATATAATATAATTTCAAACTGTTTTGAGTCATAATTCATATATTATCGATGCAAAGTACGTATTAAAATCATTGATTTTGAAATTTTTGGAGCTTGCTTGGAAATCCGATTTGCTAATTTTATGTTTTTTCAACGTTTTCACTTTATTTTGAATCGAACAAGCCTATTTTTGTCCTCTCATTGGGGTTCTCAAAAACGGCTGAACCGATTCCAAAAAAATAAATGCCATTGGATAAATGTTAATAATTTTTGGTTAAGTTTAAATAATAAAACAAGTTTTCTTATACGAAAAGCGCAAACATTTTTGTCCACATTTTAGCCAAAAATCCTGAATCTATTTGAAAATTTCTAAACCAATTCGAAAGATAGATCACGTTTCTACGTAATTGATGGTTAAACAATTTTTCGCGCGTTTCTAATAAAAAAATAAATTTCTAATAAAACTTAATATAGGACCTGGTCTTAATAAACTAAAACATTACAGTCCGACGAAAAGTGATTTATTCAACTATTAAAATTAATTAAAATTAAGAATAATCAGTTGGGCTTTAAGAAAATATTCCGAGTATAAATTGGGCATGTGTTCGTTTTTTAATAATGTGTAATACAAAAGTTTGCTCAAAATTGAATAATCTGCAATAGTTTCTTTTATAATATGACGCTCTACAGCAACTAGATATATATTGTTGTCTTATTGATTAAGTAAATTATTTAAACATATCAGGAAGTGCAGCAAGCTGCCTTAATGGTAAAATGCCACTTACAACTAGTTCCATCATTGTTTAACCGAATATGACTAATCACCTTAACAGCAAAAAGCACAACACCTGACTTAATAATAAAAAATATTCTATATTACAATGAAATGAATGGAATGTTTGCAGTCATTGTCAAAATGGCTTAGTAGATAAAACAAAATTATTTTAACATCTTGGAATGAAATTTTATAAAATATTTCTAGAATTAATTTCCGTGTAAATATATAAACAAATAACCAACAACAATGTTGAGTCATGAATAAGACTAATATAATGGAAAATAAAACAATGTTGTTCATATGTATGCTGTTATATATAGCTTTGTACGAGTGTATTGTTTATTTTTATTTGCATAATTTGCTATCTGTTTGTAGAATTTATTTGTATACATAGATGTCCAACTAAAAACAAATTAGTGCCTTAAACAAATATTTGTTTTGTTATCTTTATAATTTATAAAAATGTATTTTTGGGTATTTTCAAAACTTCTAATTATTGAGGAAGTTTTACATCATATATTGTACCACTACTCATACTTTTATTACATTTAAAGCTCACTCTAAAATTTGCAGCTATTATATGTAATTTGTTGACATATCTAAAATTACATATTCTTATCTGAAATATTCAGTTTAATATTGTATTTATATTTTATGTTAACATATTTAGAATAGTAATAATATAATTGCAATGCACAGTTGATAAATTATTAGAATGTAAATTTAGTAAATTAGTTTGCATTCACAACATATAAATCTATACCATAATTGTCATGTCATGCCATAAGTCATTTTTTTTAAATATTACTTTTTAAAAAAATATTTAATTCTAAGGACTCGCCCAGAGGTAAGCGGTTAAGAGCGACGGGGCTTGATTCAGAGGTCCCGTGTTCGATACCCACTTCGAGCAGTAGTTGTCAGGCAGTGACAACGAATTTTACGTGGAAATATAGATAACAATATGCTTTCGAGTCAAAATAGCCCTCACTCGGCATTGCTGCACCAATAAAAATATTCGTCCTGTTACAGAAATTGTAATAATGATATATCATACAAAGATGTGACAACTGATTGGGTTGCTATCTGTCAAACAGACTAGTATTAAGTCAAATCAGCATCACAATTGTGGATAAAAAATTGTATCCAAACGTACACACACACATACATCCATTTTTTTTTTCAATTAATGCCAAAATGTTCAGAAACTTGAAATGTAAAGATATATAAAAATGTTTATATAAGATGTAAGATATGCATCTATATAATAAATAACTTCATGTGCTACAAACTTTCTTGCAAAATCGATAAATCCTAGGTGATGATCGATCTAATTTGTTTACATATTTAAATATCGGACTCTAAAATATATTTTGAAAATTGTATAACTAGACATATTAGTTCAACCAATAGTTAATGTTGGTTAATTATATATATATATATATATATATATATATATATATATATATAATATAAGCTCAAGTGAAAATCAGCTTTCGTTGGTATAGCTTCATGCATAATAATAAAAAGTCAAGAAATACTTCGAGTATAGTTACTTATAGCCACAACTAGATTGGACAATAACTGGTTTTTCAAATCCATTCAAAAAGCCATACAATTATCAAAACAATTTATTAATGTCTCAGTGTAATTAAAACAAATTTTAATTAAAAGTATAACAAGAAAAGTTATTTTGTAATTTACCTTCAAATATCTAATTATCAATCAAATTGTCGCACATCTCTAAATTTAATTGATCTTGATACCAATTTTCTAAATAAAGGACAACAAAAGTAAATATTTGAAATGTAACATATTATCATATGTTACTGAAATGTAACATATTAGCAATCATAATATTTTTAAAATATTTTACAAAAACTAAAACGTTTATACTTGAGTTGCTCTTTTACCTTGAGTACAGCAAAAGTATCAAAATGTTAGAGAAATTTATCTTTACTTCGAGAACATCATGTAGTAATATTTTCGATTATTATTTAAAACGATTTTATGTAATAACTGCATTTGCCTTAAATCTCAAAACTATTCGCTTTAGAATAAATTCTCGTAGCTGTGAAATTAAATTTTGGAACAAAATTTTGGCAGATTATGTATGACAGTAACTTCTAAAAAAACATTGTTTTTTATATATTCTTATTTAATTCATGATGTTTATTTTGTATACTTTTTCACTCTACTTTTATCATTTAGTATATTTTTTATTATGCAAACAATTTGTCACAATACTAATTTATAAGTCTTTAATAGGTGAATATTGAAAATGAGGATTTTATGATGGCTACTTTTGTTTATATTTGCAATTCATTTTTTTTAGAAATGGTTCAGGCTGACCCAACGTGCAGCCTCTGGCTGGACAAAAACATTGACAGCAGACGAGGATCTGATTTTTCCCGCCTGGACTTCGACACGAGTTCAATGTTTGAATCGAATGTCCAGTTGTCAAGTTCATTAGATGTCATCGACTGGTCAAAAACTAAAATTCCCAAACGGACTAGTATCAACAGGTAAATTTGTTGGAAAGTGTTTTTTTTCTTTATTAATAATTAGCAATCAGAATAATTTCTATGAGCTAGCAAATTCTATGGGCTAATTGTGTGACGTCAACATAAAAAATAAAAATAAAGTATATAAAAAACAAACAATAATAAAGATACGAAACAAAGGTGGTAGAAAGTATTAATTATTTTTATAAAATCTAATTATTATTGCAAATTCATTTTTGTAAATAAGTTTAATTTATACTCACTTTATACTAGCTTTGAAAGTTTAGTTACGTTTTATGTCAATGGATAATAAAGTGTTTTTTTTAATAAAGCGAGGTATCTAATTTTCTATTTTAAGTAGGTAAATATGACATTTATTTCAATGCACAACCGTTATTTGATTAACATTTATTAACTTTTTTGATAATTTAAAATTTCAGAAATTATTTCTTGTTTTGTTTAAAAAATTTTAAACAAAACAAAACGGTTTAAATTTTGTTTAAAATTTATGAAATGAAATTTCAATTTAACAAATATAGAGAAACGCATAGGCAAATGTGTTGTAGCACTTATAATAGCGAGGCTCGGGTAATTTGTCTAGTAACCTGATAACTCGATCATGTCTTTCAAAAAATCATATATTTTATGATTTTTTAACTTATAGTTGTAGTAATCGCAAAAAAATCGAAAATTAAAATATTGGGTGCTATATTTAGAATTCTGGTATACTATTATTATTTTTTTATTTCGAAAGCACTTTTCACTCAAATAACTTATTATCAACAAAGTCAAAAATGTTCAAGTACTGACTTATTCTATAGGTGGTGTTTTTTTTGCTCTATTTTCGATTTTCTCCCACATTTTTTTCTTTCTCTTAAATATTTTCAAGAACATGATATTTAAAAATCTATCTTTAACATAGTAACCAGAAACAAAACTAGTTGGTATTGGTATTTAGCCTTGAGGCAAGTTACATGAACTCCTCGATTTGTGTAAATAATTGACTTAATCCATGATAGATAAATTAATTTTTGAGTAGTTAAAAATATTCGAAGTGGATTTATTACACATTATTAAAAATCGAACACGTCAACCCGGTCGGAATATTTTATAAAAGCAAATTTTCAAAAATCAATAATTTTTATAATTGATCCAGTTTTTTGTAGGACTTTAATTGTTTAGCATGTTCATTAAGACCAAGTACTTTATCGTTATACCAAGTGAATCGTATAATTTTAATTTTAACAAATGTCAAAAGAACTACACATTTTCTCAAACTTTGATGAATTTTTAAAATTAAACTACTTCTTGTAAGGCAGTAATATTTGCAGTAAAAAAAAATCCATAAAAATCGGCTTAAATTTTTTTTTCAACAGTTAATTACAAGAAAACGGCTCGGTAGATTTTCACCTTAAACTAATCAGTATCATTCCCAACTACTATTTTTCCAACAGTTGTTGTATTTTGAAATCGATTCATTAGTATAGTATGAGTTTAAATGTGGACGAAAAGTTTAACACTTTTTTCCAAATTACAAAGAAACGGCTAGGCCGATCGTCGCACAAGCCTGAGAAACGTTAATCCTCATCGAGATACATCAAATGGTTTTTAATTACTGAAATCGGTTTAGGCGTTTTTGAGCAAACGTCGATGAAAGTTCTAATTTTGACAAATGCCAAAAAAGCGATACTAATTTTTGCAAACTTTGACGAATTTTTAAAGCTAAATGAGTTGTCGTAGGGCCGTAATATTTTAGTACGATCTAGAAGACTATGGTATCAACCGTCAAAAAATAATGATGAAAATCGTCGATTTTTTTTTTTAACTTTATTACAAGAAAAAGGCTCGGCCGATCTCTACCAAAAGCTAATCAGCACGATTCCCAAACAATATCTTTTGAACGTTTTTTCAATTTTCAAAATCGATTCAGAATTGCGGGCTAAAACGTAGAATTTTTCACTTTTCTGCGATTTATAAAGAAACGGCTTGGTCGATCGTCGCACAAAACTGACAAACAATAGTCCTCATCGAGATAAATCGAATGGATTTTAAATTTTTGAAATCGATTTTGAGAAAACGGCGATTTACGGCAAAAAATCTGTTGATGCACACGCACACACACACATACTTTTTCCAAATTTGGTCTCATTTGATTCAGAATGGCTTGAAACATCGAGAAAACATAAAATTAGCGAATCGGTTTTTCTGATAAAAACATAAACTTTTCCTTCGGGGAGTTAATTATTGCACTAAAATACGCAGTTAGCAATAATTTCGAATTGCTGCATTCTAAAACGCATTAAAGTTTTTTCAGAATGCTTTGAAAAGGGTAACGATTAACTTGATTGATTATGGTTTTTGTTTGCCTCACCATGGATTTGAATGATTATGGTTTTTATTTGTCTCACCATGGACTTCAAGCAAAACTTAAAATAAGAAATATACCTTCCAATAAAAATTAAATACTTGGGTACAATGTAAAAAAATATTTCTGAAATCGAGGATTCTCGAGCCGGAGCCTTCTTGGATCGGGAGACCATGGGCGAGCCCTCATTGGTAACATGAAATCAGTTTATTTCATGTACTCAATCTCTGAAGCAAATGCCTTATGTCTTCTTACATAAGTCATCAGATCATTCAAAGCCACTTTTTTTTTTTCATGTCGAATGCCTACATCGACAGAGCTCTGGCCATATCTTGCTCCTGGTTACTTTGTATCTCTATTGAATATATATTCACATGAATTGTTTAGTTTAATTGAGTGTTATAAAAATATCATATAATGTACATTTCGATGCAGGTTTTTCCGTTTCTGGGATAAGTATGTGGGAAAGAAATTGTAAAAGCATTTTGTATCAAAATTTTATTTTGAGACTACAAACAAGAGCTGAAGTTGATTACGTATACGTATCGGAAAATATGTGCAACTTGCCTTGGGCAAAATGCTACTTACAACTAGTTTAAAAATATCAAAATTTGTTTTATTCAACTTCTTTGCGATGTTAATAATTAATTAAATTAGCAGTAAAAGTTAAGTAAGCAAGAATTATTGATCAGGTAGATATGGCATTTCATGATTATCTTCAAACAGTTATTTTTATTTCCGTATAAGGTAATGTCAATTATAGCCTCTTGAACATATCTATAGCTTGATATGTGAAGTAGTTCCTATCTGCCACAATGTCGCAGAGTTGATAACATTATCATATGAATTTTATTACTAGGTGGATATCAAAATTAATTTGGATCATAGATTTTATCTCGTTTAATTATTCATAAGTTTAATTTAAATAATCTTTCTCGCCATCTCACTGCAAACCAGAAAACTTTATATCTATCATGTTTCTAATTCATGTTGATATATCAGAATTGTTGAGATATCATACACATGTTTACATGGACTTTCAGCAGAATGAGTAACTGTAAACGCTCAAAGATCAGATTTTTTCAAAGCATTCAAATAGGTATTTAATATGCTGTGGTTTACGATGCTTATTTCTAGAACTCTAATAGAATGTAATCTAATGTTTGCCTCTATTCTCCAAGATCTATATCGATTTTATTTAGAAGGCTACACTTTGTTCGTTCTTTCTAATTGTAGTATTGCAGCAATGCCCCCAAAGGCCTCCTATGGAAATATATTCGGGTCAACAGTTTCAACTGAAAACTAATATGAATACTGCTTAAACTCGAAATTTGAGGTTTACATCATTTCAAAATGTATATTTTAATTTTAATACAATTTATCACATAAGGAGTCGTAGGATCTTGGGATTTTAATGCAATACAAGATATCACACAAGGATCCGTAGACATAAATCATAATGTCATCGAATTTTATTAATTTAAACATTTTCCAATTATAATAAAATTAGACAGAAAGCACAATAAATTTATAAAGAATGGAAATTGAACTTTTAGATTTGAAAGAACTATCTAATATGAAATTATTTTAACACTAAGCCTACCGACAATTTTGTATAAATGCCTATAGTGCGCGGTCAACATGACCGATAATTAAAAAGTTATCTATTCCATTATTCAATTCTAATAAATACCGATTTGTTGCATAATGTATATGTAGAAAAGAAATTCTCAAAGTTTACTTGAAATTTATTTTTATATAATTTATAAAAATTTTGTTTATAAAAACCAATTAAAGTAATTTTTATACAGTATATTATAGACATACATAATAAACTTCATTTGGCTTTCTCACATAACAAAATATTTTGAATCTTTATAAATAAATATGTTCAAATGTTTATCTAACGCACAAATATTTGTTGTATTATAACTTTTGAAAAATTTTGTTTAACCAGTTTTTCGTAGACCTAAATTCAAACTTTGAAAGTGCCAAAAATGTTTTTTGAATTAGTAAAATCGGACGCTCCGTTCTCTTGAAAACTGAGTTACCATTTTTGGCACTTTTTGCCCCGTATCTTCGGAAAGGCTAGACCTACCTTTGCCAAAAACTAATCAGCACGTCTCTTTAGCAATACGAATCGAATGTTTTTTGAATCACTCAAATCGGTTGATTGGTGTTCCTAAAATCGTCGACTAAAATTTGTATCCGCACACACACACATACATCCATTTTTTCTAAAGTATGCCAAAATGTTCAGAAACCTCTGAAACGTAAAGAAATATAAAAATTTCAATTTTCTTTTTTTGCGATTACTATAACTTGCCCTATGGGAAGTTAAAAATGCCTTCTAGCGATCAAAAATAATCATTAGACATATGCACATCAAATTATCTGATATTTTATAGAGATTTTCATATGTATGTACACATTTTGTGTATTTTTTTGGGTTCCGTACTAAGATTTTTAATTACCTTACAGAAAGTTTCAGCAATTTGCCTTAAGGCACGATGCCATGCACCCCACTAGTTGATGTAAATGATTTCACTTGTCGTTCATACAAAATCTGCCCATTCATTCAGTTGGGTCCAAAATTTTGAAAAACACCTAAAGTGGCCAACTACAACTATTCATGTTGCACTTTTTTATCATCTGATCTGGCACATCTACATCGAATTATGTCCATATTCAAAATCAGACTTGTAAAAGTAATGTCTTTTGATTTATACAATTCGCTTCAAAATCTGTGAAAGGATTCATCAGTGTTAAAACAACGAACATTTCAAGTGGAATTGAACGATCTTTTATTCTTTTCCCAATAAGAAAACCCGTTTATTATATATTTACTAGTGACTTCACACGCCAACCATATCTTTATTCTAAAGTCAGATTTATTTGGTATATATTGTGTAAATCTGTTCCTACCTTTGAAGGAAACAACTGCTGACATGGCATTATTTTCCGGTCATATTGACCGGTAGTTAGGGCGCTAGGCCACATAAGTTTTTTTGGTAAATATCAAAAATAACTAGAAGCAAAGAGTGAAGCAAATATTATCATTATATTCTAAAATATGATATAGAGTTTGATAATGGCATTATGTCAGTTTCACAAAAAGTTTGGAAACGTTCAATATGACCGGCATTGGTAGGTTTAGTGTTAAATTATTATTAGTATACTAGCCGACCCGGCAGACTTCGTCCTGTCAAAAAAATTTGTAATGTGGCGGTGTTTTGTTCCTACCTTTTTTCTATTCTTTGCAAAAAATTATTCTGAACAGAACCGTCACCCTGGTAATAATTCGGTGTGAATTAAAAATAATTAAATAAAACACTATAAGCATTTGAAAGTAAGTAATTTTAATCATGTAAAACATAATTTAAAAATCAGTTCAATTTTCATTCTAGTGCTTTGTGATAAACGATGTTTTTTGTTTGATTACCTGGCTACAGACAACATACAGAAACAGACAACATACAATTTCCCATGTGAGAAACATGGGTTTTTCAAATTAATACCACAAACATTTAATGATACCATAAACGTACTGGAAACTGTAGTCGTTTAATCTCAAATGGCACATCAGTCGGAAACATTGGGATGCACGGTGCGAGAACATTTTCTGCTTTATACTATACTTTCAATATAGTAGCTTCCATCACGTTGTTTGGTAGTTTTTTTATTGCTAACCTTGTGCCGTTGCAAAGGCTCGGTTGGTCGATATTTTGCAACATTATAATTGCCGATCCAACCTTTAATTGAAGATTGGAGGTGACAATCCTAGCAAATCCAGCGAGTTTAAAAACTCCGGTGGATCGTCTTGGTTAGTTGCCGAATTAACTGATTCGCCTGTAATTTGTTCTTGAATTTTGAAATTTAATTCATTTACATCAATGTTTTTGGCTGCCAATACAGCTCATTAATTAATAGAAAGATATTTCTATGTTTATATAAATATATTAAAAATTAGATTATCAAAAACTACACAAAATGTCATGACATAGATCATTGTTTTTTCTACAAATGTCGTTGCCTACTCGATTAAAAAAGAAAAGGGCTGTTTTTAGGGTTTTCCCGGCAATTATTCGTTTTTTTCTCGCCGTAAGAACCATCTTTGGACTTCAACGAGCATTTAAAAAAAATAATTGGCCAAATTGGTCCAGGCGTTGTTGAGTTATGCGCTTACCGACACATTTTGCGATCCATTTTTATATATGACTAGCAAACCCGACGAACTCCGTTTCGCCACCAGATGGTTTCGTGAGAAAGGTGAAGAAATTTTTTGTTTGTTTTATATTTTAAAAGGAAAAATTTGATTTTATCATACAATAGTAACGAATTTATTTTGATTACAAAAATGAAGTGTTTTTTAGTTGAACTTCTCTAAGTAAATGAAAGTGAATCTGCAAATTATCCATTTATGAAAGTGATCTTTGGTAAACCACATTTTTTGTTTTTTGGTCTGACGTTAACACAAACAAAGCGGATGGTTTGCCAACTCGTGAACAGGCAAAGTATAACTGCCCATGTGAAAAACAATGATTTTCTAAATAATCTATTTGAAATTTATCCCGCAAACACTAAGCGATTGGCCTATCGACTTGTTATTGCGAACTGAAAATTGCAATCGATTTAAGTCAAACGGAAGACCAGTCGGAATCATTGGTATGTCACCAAATCGTCAGCAATTTTTTATTGAATGGTGAAATTCAGGGCGTGTACATCATTATTCTTTGCGGCAAGAATTGCTCGTTGACTTAACCAATCATAATTCTGATAATTCTCACTAATGTCATTACTTGAATTTTTAATTACGGTGCGTGAAGTTCCAGCAATTTGCATTAAGGCACGATGCCATGCACAACTAATTTTCTTAGTTATAAACCTTGCGGAGCTCGAGACCTTTCCAACGAATGCAAAATTGTCGAAATCGGTTCGTGCGTTCTGGAGTTATTTCGTCAGGAAGGAAAACCCGACTTATTTTTATATATATAGAAGATTATATTGATATAATGATGGTCTACTTGAATTACAGTCTAATATTTATGTGAATTTTAGTGGAACATGCGATATTTGACATATGCACATTTTATTATTCATTTTGAAATGACTAATGCATTGATCGGCAGACCAATATCGTGTTACTGTATGTGATTATTGTAACCATAATTGCAATAATTACAGAGAAATTAAATAGCGTGACATGTATAAATAAAAACATCACTGGATTCTAAATACTTATTTGCCCCATTCCAATAGCACTATTGTTATCAAGCTATGTTTCTGGATTAATGTTATAGAGATAAAAATTAAACTCTATGTAACTTTTATTGTTAATTAGTTATATTAATTCAATTTTAAACATACCTGACAACAGCTCTGACATATTATGGTTTAAAGGAGAACCGAGAGAACCTTAGGTTTACTCTTCTGGGATTTTGATAAAACTTCGCATGGTGATAGAGTTGATTGTCAAAGCGAGCATTCAAAATATTATAGCCCTAGGAGAAGTGCATAAATTATAAAAAGTAAAGTTAGGTTTGGCATATATATATATTTTGATGAGTATTTTGATTCGGGCCGTAACACCAAGTAAAAAAAAAACTAAAGCAGTTGTAAAAAAGCTATATTTTATACTTTTATCATGGAAATACATTAAATTATAGATTTATAAAACATTATATTTCTGAAACGCTTTTAGCTCATTAACTTTGGTTCTAATTTCATTTTCCACCCGGATCATCTACCTATACTGACCTCACTGTACTAAAATGAATCTAGCTAATGGATATACTATTTTTACACTATTTATGTTTTTCTACTTATGATACTATATTTCATAAAATATAGTTAAACTTTTCAGTGATAATTTAAATCTAATGTCATTGTTCAAGAATGACATGAATTGTCAATATTAATGCAGAATATTTTTGCAGAGGATCGCTGAGGAGCAAATCATTATGTATAATTAGACCAAAAGATTACACATTAATGGAAATTCGGAGGATAAGGGAAAGGTAATACAATATAGGTATTTATGCATAAATCTTAAAAAAAATATAATAAAGTACTCATTGATGTATACTTATTGATAGAATAAAGCCGATAAACTAATTCAAACGAAAGATTTTCAAATTGGCAAAATCCTCACATGCTTTCGGTTTGTATAAGGAAGTGTTCTTAATTTAACTGCTTATTGGATTAATATAAAAGTATCAGCAAAATTTCTTTGCAAATGAAAGTTTTTGGGCTTTAAAATTTCTGTCCCATTGAAAAAGCTTCGGTTCTTAGTCTTTGCAATCTTACATATTATGGTAGATTTTTTAGTGATTTGTTGGTTTTTTGTTTTTTATTATAAAAATTTAAGCCATAAATTGGAAAATTGTAAACCAGATCAAAGAATCAAAAAATTCTGAAATTAAAATTTTCACCAAATTCCCAAATTCAGAACTATTCAATATTCTGTAAAAACAAAACAAATATAAACTAGTGAAACTAGTGGTAGATGGCATCGTGCCTTAAGGCAAATTGTTAGAGTTTTTGTACGTGTGTCTTTGTATTCAATAATTCAAAAAAATCATTTGTATAGTCAAAATGAAGTACTGATTAATTTTTTTGGAAAGCAGATCTTCTGGTTTTGGAGATCGAGTGAAAATGCAAAAGAAATTCCATTTGGCGATCAAAAATGATCATTGGACATATGATCAACTAATCATCAGATATTTTATAGAGATTTTAATAATAAGTATGAATTTTGCTTACATTTTTATGGGTATACGCACCAATGTTTATCCGTTATTTTATCTGTAAAAGCCAAGCAGCACGATTGTTTTGAAAAAAAGTTTAGAATTTTCAAAAAAAATCAAATTTGTCAAAAGTCTTATTTTGCCAAAAATTCTCGAAAATATCATTTTTTCAGTTTTCAAAAGAGTTTGAAGCGTTTTTAAAAAAATCAGTGTTTGGTACCGAAAGTATCAGCAATTCGCCTTAAGGCACAATGCCATCTGGTTTTATTTACAAATAAACCATAAATTTGATTTAATTCATATTCCAAATTTAGATTACTTCGGACGCAACCTCATCCAAAGCCCTCTGTCATTTACAACTTGGGCTCGAGACAACGTATTACTCTGGCAGTTTTAGCGCTGGTGGACTTCATCTCTTTCTGCTCCATGAGTGTTATGGCCCCATTTTTTCCCCAAGAAGCGGAAAGGAAAGGGCTTACTCAGACGGAAACAGGACTAGTGTTCAGCTTTTATGCTTTGGTTATGTTTGCAGCTTCACCTCTTTTTGGAAAGTTGGTTAGTTCTTATTACTTTCAAGAGTTTAAAATATAGTATGTACATGATAATATGAAGAAATTGTTGTTAAAATAGCTTGTACCTCACATAGTATGTTTGTCAACTGAGGTGGACAGCCGTCCCAAAAGTGTTAAAACTCGTATAAAATACACTGCCAAAAAAGAACTTTATCAGTCTCCTCAATTATACTATCGTTTCACAATTAAGACTAAAATGAATCAACTACATTATTGTTTACTTTCTATGTCAATGTGTACATTAATCGATAAAAATATAGAGCCACAAATCCAATAATTAAATATGTAATAAACGTGGCAAAAATAATGTAATAATTTCGGACAGAACTTTTCAGCAGACCTAATATTTGTATATAGCAATTAGAAGTTTGATCTAAAAATTATTCTCAAAGGTGAACTGATGAAACCTAGGCTCATAGTAAATTACTAAAACATTTTATAATTTTAAGAAACTGCATTTGTCAGATAATTTTAATACAGTTTTAAAAGAGCTTTAACAGTAAGTTGACTATATCTATGTTATGAATATTATAAAAAAACACTTTCAGCTGATAAAACTGAATGATGCACAAACTGAATACATTATTCGGAAATGCAGAATAGAAAACAGAATTTACTGTTCTGATGATTAAACCAGATGCAGATCATTGCATTGCATGTTTCTAACATTGCATGAAAACTAATTTAATAACATAGAGATGAATCAGAATTAATAGCAGGTTCTTTAATTATGAGACCTAAAATAGTCTTTATTAGTGTTTATTTTTGAATACTTTTGAAAGTATGTCCGGTTGAATATTTGAGGATTGATAAATATAAAAATTCGGTAAATTCTTTGGATGCATCATCTTCAAATTTATTTTGCATTTGAGCTCTCGGGCGATTATAACAATCCATTTATTTGTCCAATATATACACATTAAATCATATATATAATGCCAATTAAGCGTGATATAATTTGATTCATGTTTGCCCTTTTGATAAATAATCGGTATGATAATCTTTGAAATAAGTTAGTTTTAAACCAAATTGCCATCCAAGCTTTGTTAAATTTTCTAGTAAATTACATCACTACTAGTAAGAATCCACTCTCTTGATTCTTATTAAGAATTTATGTTTCATATCAAATCCTAAAATTGGCAATGCTGAAATATATTTATTTTGTCTGAATTTTTCAAATATTTTAATAAAACTTATTTTTGCAGCTACCTAAAATTGGGGCAAGATTTCTTTTTCTTTCCGGATTGTTTATAGCAGGTGGTTGTAGTGTGGTTTTTGGGTAAGATATTAATATACATAAAAAATAAACAAAACTCTCACTTAACTAAAAAAAATAAAATGCATTTTTTGTTACAGCTTATTAGAATATGTAGAAGATCGAAAACTATTCATGATTTTCTGCTTTTTTGTTCGTGGTTTGGAGGCTTTGGGAGCTAGTGCATATTCAACGGCCAGTTATGTTTATGTAGTTGCTTGCTTTCCTGATAATATAGGAACAGTGCTAGGTCTTCTAGAAACTTTTGTGGGACTTGGAATGTCTATGGGACCTGCTATTGGAGGCTTTCTGTACTCGGTATGCAATTAAAATATTAATAGTTTTATCGGAAATAAATATTCAAATAACACAAAAATTGTGAATTTTGATAAAGGATTCGAAGGCAAATTGCTGGAAAATTAAATGATTTCAAATACACTAGTATAAATACTGTAACTGCCATATTTTATAGGAAAAAAGAGTTTATTGAAGAGTTTAATAAACGACATTTATATGTGTTTACATGAAAAGTAAATAAGTAAAACTTAATCAACCGGGTGAAAATGCAGAACATTATCTAATATTTATATGAATTGTATAAAATGAATAGCAGAGTTAAAATTATTTGTAATTAAGAAAAAAATAATTAAGAAGTGTACAAGTGATCAAAATCCAAATTATTTTCGATATTCAAAAAAATGATTTTTTTTTTAAATTTGGAAATACACTGCCATTTTTTATCAAGACTGGATCCGTCTTCGCCAAAAACTAATTACCACTTTTCTCCATCATTACGAATTGAATGTTTTTTGAATCATTTAAATTGGATGCTTCATTCTCTCAAAAACTCGATTTCTATTTTCTGCATTCTTTGCTTTGTATCTCCGAAACGGCTTTACTTACATCAAGTGAAGATATGCAAAAATTTCAATTTCAATTTTTGGACGATCACAATAACATACCATACGGAAAGTTGAAAAAAAATCAGAATACCCAAGTTTGCATGCAGTATGAATATTGTACAATTAAAACTAACTATTGATAAATTACTGCTTTAATAGTTATTTTTTGATTCATAAATCTTTTTAATTAATATGAAAATATTTCTTTAATTGTCTGATCTGTATTTTTTCAGATAGTTAGGAGGATTTGGTTTACCATTTTATTCTGTTGGCATTCTGACACTATTTGTAGTTCCTGTAACCATGTGCTTATTGCCGCATAATAACGGTGAGGAAACAAAATTTAATTATATTTCCAGATTTATATAACAAAAATATTCTTTCGTTTCAGCTAAGTTCTAGTGATAATTTAAATGCCATTCGCAATTACCAAGTGATTTCAGTTTATTCTAAATATTTTACTATTAATACTAGCCCTTTCCACTCGCGAATTGCAAGATTTATATGGATTTTGCCGCCGGAGCAGCTGCATCCGAGTGGAAAGGGTCAAGTTAATTGGTTGAAATAATATTAATAAAATATTTCATTTAGCAATCTACCTCACGTTATTTAAATACTAATTAGCAGACAGATACATAATCCTTTTAAATTTATATTTTTATAAAACACACACAGTGATAATGATTAGGTTAAAATGAAATCTTTAATTTTTTCGTGAAACTCGTAGCTTACTTATATAACATGCTTCAGATTATGCGATTTGAGTCTCACAAATTTCAGTATTTTCTTTATGCAAATTTCATCCTCTGGTGAGCCACTACATTTTTCCTCCACGCCCTACCTTTTCAACTCAATACCTTTTCTTTGTCATTTTTGACACAGTTACTGTAAATAAATATTTGAATTAAATAGGTTCTGCATATGTGTAAAACTGCGAAATATATAATATGAATAATTACTAAATTTATAATTATTTTTAGATTTAGGTAAAACTAGTAAGCCGGGTTCACTGCTTTTGTTAGCCTATTGCCCAGGAGTCCTGATGACTGGATTGGTTGTAATAGTTGCATCAAGCGCTTGGGGATTTTTAGATCCAACTTTAGAACCACATTTGAGACAATTTTCACTCAGCGCCAAGCAAGTTGGACTGATTTTCTTGCTTTTCTCATCGTTGTATGCTGTATCAAGCTCATTTTGGGGATGGCTGGCCGACAAGTAAATTATTATATTACTACTTACTATTGCTAAATTATACTAGCTATTAAGTTATATTTTAGACAGCAATATATTTTAATACTAATAGATTATTTTTCTAATTACTATGATCAACTTATTTGCGTCTTAAAATAATTAACGCCTTTAAAGCAAATCTTTACATAATCGTTTCACTGATAAAGAGAACCTTAGGATTATTAATCGAGATTTTTTATGAAACTGTGTATGATGATAGATTGTATGGTCAAAACAAATTCTATGACTTATTATAACAATATATATAGTCTACAAATAGTCTTATAAGATGTGGTTTCATTATGAAAACTAATTAAACTTCAGAAAATTAAGCTTTGCGCCATGCGTACGCATGTTACTACAGTTTTTTTTTCTCAATATCTGGAGATGGGCATATTTTTTATTTTTATTTCCGTAATACATCTTTTAAATATTGCAGAAATATTAATTTATCGTCTATATTGTGCACACAAAAAAGTATATATCTGAAAAAATATGTAGATGGATATTACATATATTCTCTGAGTATACGTTCTTTTCAAACCTCATCTATTTTATAGGTATAAACCAAAATTAAAACTAGTTAAGTGTATGGGCATCGTGCCTTAAGGCAAATTGCTGGAACTTCCAGTACCGTAACAAAATGATCGAGTTCAATATTAACAAAATATTAAATGTTTTAAAATACATTTATATAAATATTGTAACATTGTCTATTTATATTTATAAGAATTATATAAACTAAATTGGAAAGTTGAAATTATTTGTTTAAAGTATATTAGAACATAATTAAAATAAAAATCTGAATTATCATCGATATACAAAAAAAAATTTTTTTGAAAAAAAAAAATTGTAGCGAAATTTTTTTTTTCCAAAATCAATTATTTTGTTAAAACAAGCAGAAAGTTTTTGGAATCGTTCAAATAGGACGCTTAGTTCTCTTAAAAACTGTCATTTTTTGCACATTTAGCTCTGTATCTCCGAAACCGCTGGACCTGCCTATGCCAAAAACTAATCACCCCTTTTCCCCGTCATTACGAATTGAATGTTTTCGGGATCATTCAAATCGGACGCTTCGATCTTTCAAAAACTGGATTTCTATTTTCTGCACTCTTTTTTCCGTATCTCCTAATCGAATGGACCTGCCTTTGCCAAAAACTAATCAGCACTTCTCCCTATCAATAGGAATCGAATATTTTTTGAACCATTCAAATCGGTTGATTCGTGCGCCCGAAAACGTGGACGAAAAATTGTATCCTAACATACATACACACTCACACACATACACACGCACACACATCCATTTTTTCTGAGGTATGCCAAAATGTTCAGAAACCTTCAAAACTATTTATAATTATAACTTCAAAACGTCGAGAAATGTAAAAATTTTCAATTTCGATTTTTGGCCCATTACAATAACTTACCCTACGGGAAGTTAATAAATTTTTTGCTAACTAAAAATTTAAGTTATAATTATAAATATATTGTATTTCATTATAATTAATTTAACTGAAAGTATTTTTAAGCACGTGCTTGATTTGATTTTTTTGGATTCATTGAAATTCAATAAAATTATACTTTATCTATATATTAAGGGGACCACACGTCCCGGCTTTTTCTAAAAGCAATATTTGTCCCGGTTTTAGGTGTTTTGTCCCGGATTGTCCCGAATTTTTAAAAATGTTTTGATTGCCAATATTTTTTTAAATATATTTCAAGAAGAAAATTTATAGCGAAAAAATGTGCATATAAATTTTTAGCTCGCCAAACCCGCTTCCCCCGCTCTCACACACATTATAATCCGTCCCGGATTTCATGCAAAAAAAATATGGTTACCTTACTATACAGATAGTTTATGATGATGAACAGAATTAAATGATTAATTTTATTTTTATTTTAAGATTCAACAACCATTGGTCAATGATGTTCAGCGGACTTTTATTATGCTCATTGGGGCTTTTATTACTAGGCCCTTCGCCGTTGTTGCCACTCGAAAGGTAATATTTTGAGATCAATTTCTGAAAATTGAATTTTTGTTCTGAGTTGTGCGTTATTTTTCAGTTCATTATGGTTGAATTTAACATCATTGTCGATATTAGGAATATCGATTGCGTTGGCTCTACTGCCTACCTTTCAATCAGTATTAATGTTTGCAATGTAAGTACTAAAACAGAAATATATTGTATCACCTTTAATAAAATTTATACTTTTAGGGACGCAGGCTGTCCTGATTCAGTGTCCACGTACTCTGTAGTTGCTGGACTGTGGTCATGTATGTACTCCCTTGGAGAAGTTATAGGGCCAACATTGGGAGGAACTTTACTGGAAAAATTTGGGTTTCCTTGGTGTTCTACAGTAATGGCTGGAATTACATTTTCACTTGTAAGTTTATTTAATTAGTAAGTATATTTAAGTAATTATGGACTGAATTTGTTGTAACACATAAATACATCTAATTTATTAGTATTGTGAAGATTGAAATATTTTTATTGTTTTTTTAATTTAGTCAATAAACACTCATATGTAGATATTTCTAACAATAAGGAATGTCATATATTATATATTCCTATCATTTTAATTACAGCAATTATAAGCCTTATGGTGTATGATCAATAAAGCACAATCATAGAAAACAATTTAAGGATAAAATATAAGTAAAAATAATAGTAATATAAATTTGAAAGTACAAAAAATTGTTCATCCGTGCATATTATTATTTTTACAAAAATCGAAAGACTTGATGTGTTTATTCAAATAAACATTTTGTAATGATAAAAAGTATGTTTTTGCTCTATACCATACTTTTTATTATTATCTGTCCAAACATCCAGTGCAGTATAGTTTTTTAGAATTATTTATATCTCACATTCACAACTTAATTACTACATATAGGCACTTGAACTAAATGAAATTCAATTACTGTGATTAAAATAGATATTAATACTATATTTCAGGCTATAGCATCATTTTTTTTCTTTGCCTTTCGATCTCCAAGTAATGCAGGAAAATCAACATGCGATAGTGGAATGAGTGAATATTCTACAATATATGGAACAATGACTGATAGTGATGATAGAGATCCATTATTAACAAAATTTTATGATAGTGATGATGATAACACAAGTCATATTGCATATACGATAGAAAAAATAAATTACTATGAACAAAGCAGGAGGAATGACCAAGAATTTGGCGATTTAGATACTAATCAAATGACTGATGTGAGGGGAACTGTTAACGTAACATCGAGAGGAGCTTGTGAAGTTTAAAATTTGAGTCTGATCGGTATCATTTATATGTTTTATGTACATCCAATAATATTTAGGATGCATGAAATTAAAATAGTTTAAGATAAGTTTTATATTACAATTCAAAATGCTATGAATGATTTATGAATGTTTAATATTCTTGATAATGTATGCTGTGCCGTTCTCTTGAGATACGTATTTATTAAGTAATTGTCATAAAACTTTTAAAAATAAAAACAAATTTTATATAATTTAATTTTTATTGCTATACATATTATAAAATCCATACACAGTATTAAGCCATGTACTATAACTTTATGTACAATTCCTTCTATAAACTAGTGCATACTTAAATTAAAAAAATTTTGCTACATCATAAAATAAAAGTTGTCTTTCATAATTAAAATATTGAAGCTAACTAACTTTATATTTAATTCATAATTCTGATAAATGAAAACAAAACAAAAACATGGAAAAATTATATCACAATAAATTTAAAATCTACAAGCTACAACTTCTTGAGTCATTTTCTTACTTACAAAAGAACTATAAATAAACAAATTAGATACAAATATTAATTTCTTATTATGAACTTAAGCATTCATATATATTACAATAAATTATTCTTGCACACTATTTTAGGTCATTATTTTCTTCATGCATATATGTAACATCAAAGTCCTTTTGTGTGCATTTTGTGAAGATACTGGTTTCATGTTTTCGTTTTCTGAAATGTTTATTCAAACTACTTAATAGTTTCATTTTCTTATATTATTTATTATAAATGCAACACTCAAATTATCCTCCAGCTTTTAAACTTTGTAGTTAAGGGTTTGGAGGAGGATAATAGGGTCTTGCGGCAGGAGGGCCTGGTGGGTAATACCCCGGAGGCATACTTCCATAATGAGGCATGGGTGGTGGTGCGTAAGTTCCATAAGCTGCTGGTGGTTGATGTGGCATAGCGGGAGGTGGATGAGGTGCCGGAGGTTGGTGAGGTATTACAGGTGGCTGATGGGGATGAACAGGAGGTATTGAAGCAGGAGGTATAACTGTTGGAGGTCCTGCTATTGGCGCTGTAAATGCAGCCGGATATTGTACTCCTGTATATGGAATGTGATATGCAGGTACCTCAGGTCTAGAGACAGAACTTGCAGCTAATGATTTAATAGGTTGTGCATTCTCTATCTCACCGTTTTTAGGCAGTAACGGTGGTTGAGGTGGAGGTTGTAAAGGGGGAGGAGTTTTAGCTCTTTCAGGGGTTTTTGGGTTTAGCAGGTAATGGTGGACTATCTGGCACTGTTGTAGGATTTGGTTGTGAGTATAAATCTAGAACTTGATGGCATATGTCTTCTAATAATCTAATGTAACATCTTCTATAAACATATCCCACCAACGTGTATGTCTAGTAGTCCTACCGTTCCAGTCTGTAACTTCAAATTTACTAAGTTTACCAGCTAAGTACATCAGAGCAACTGCTATAACTTCAGGCTCCCACTGTAAACACAATGTAGTGCACAAGCTATCGTTCACAAAAGTCCAAGCCATTTGTACCATTTTTTGTAATTTATTTTTATCACCCTTGAGACACTTTGCATATCGAAGCAAGTATGCATAAGGGTGATCTACTTGCAAGTCGAACTTAATTGTCTGCAGCAATATTCGCTCTAATGTAAGAACCTCTTCTTTGGGGTCTGAACCAAATGCGGCAAACTTGTCTTCAGGCAATAAACCTTTAGCAGTTTTTATTATGTCTTTGCACTTTTTAGGCGTTTCTTCAACTTTTCCTGCTAGTAACAGGCAGCAACATGCAGTGACGTATCTTGGAAATGTTCTGAATGAATGAAACATATAAAACCTATGAAAATACACTACACCTGTCGCCATTGTATTATATCCGAGGTCCATTTTTGTTCCAGTATCTATGATAAACCTAGTTCCTTCCTTTCGGTAGCGGCTTTCAGTATCGAAATCAATTCCATCCTGACAAGAAGGACTATTGCGGATTTCCTTCTTGTCGTAATACCAGAAAGGCATACTTGAACGCATTTTGGTATTATTTATATTGTGTTCACTCTCTAATTAACATCTAATTGTATGTTAAATAATTGAACAATATTTGTGAAGTTATTAAAATACATAGTTTGAAATATACACATAACCTCAAAGCATTGCTGTCACAGCCATTGGAACAAAATGGCGAACATAAAATATGAGTGCCATATAGTGGAAAATTGTGGAACGATCGACAAATGTCAAATTTGAAAAGCAAATTTCAAATAAAAACACTGAAGATTTTTCATCATAACTTATCCTTCTATACTGTTATAATTAAAGTGCATAATATGTATTCATGTACAGTTATGAGAGTCTGCATAAAACAAGGTAATTGTTTATACTATAACATTTTAAGGTTCAAGTATCGACTGTAGGGTACTTTACTTAAATATTATATCATAAATATTTTGATATTGTTTAGGCGTTTAAGGGTAATTCGAATTGAATATTATTTATGATTGAACCATTTTGATTCCACTATTGCATTCTAATGCCGTGATTTCCAACCTGCGGGGCGCTTTTGCAAGGGGATATTTCAACTATTTCCATAATGATATATAAAAGTAAATCGAAAATGAAAAAATATAAAAAAATATTTAATGTATATTTTAACATAATATTTCATATTAATTTGTAATCTGATAATTAAATTATATCAGTTGATAGTTGCATATCTATGAAACAAAATTGCTAAAAAATATGATGATTGCAAAAATTTTTGAGAAGAGAGAGAGAGGGTATCGGAATGAAAAGGGTGGAACACTTCGACTAATTTTAAATATTTCTTGAATAACATAATATAAGTTTATACTAAATAAAGTACATTAATTTGCTAATTTTTAAGTTTTTTAAAGTGCAATTAAAAAATCTGTGCAGTTTGATTTGCTAATTATAAAACTAAATTCCTGTGCGTCATATTGGAAGCATTATGGAACGGTTCAAATTACAAAAAAATATTTACATTACATTACGTATTATCTAAAATATGAAAAAAAACAGCATAATAATTAAAATATGATATGTTTTCTGATTCAAATTAAGTGTAACATAGTTATAACTTAAATACAAAATTATCGTTTGCACATTTACACGTGAAATAAGGTTTTAAGGTATAATAATGCTTTATTATTCTAATTAAAGTTACATGTATATGAGTTTTATATTTACATTAATATTTATATATTTGCACTTTCATTTTTGATTGCTATATTGTAAACGAATTTCTAATTAAAATCATAATGCATATAATAGTAAGGCATTGTAAATTACATTTTGTTATTGTAACAATAGTTTTGCATTAACAAAAATTCACCCACATTTATTAACTTTCTGTAGGAAGTTCTAGTAATCGCAAAAAATCGAAAATGAAAATTTTTACATATCTCCGTTTCAAAGGTTTCTGAACATTTTGGCATACCTTAGAAAAAATGGATGTGTGTGTACGTATGTGTGTGTTTTGTCGACTATTTAGAGAACACGGATTAACCGATTTGAATGATTCTGTTTTTGGTAAAGGCAGTTCCAGCCGTTTCAAAGATACGGGGAAGAAAGTGCCAAATATTTATTTGAGTTTCTGAGAGAACGGATCGTCCTATTTGAATGATTCAAAAAACAATTTATTTGTATTGACGTAAGGAACAAATGAGCATTTTTTTTAATAGAGAGGCAGGTTTAGCGGTTTCCGAGATGCAATGAAAAAAGTAAAACAAGCCATTTGGCGGTCGAAAATGATCATTAGATCAAATAATTAGGTATTTTATAGATATTTAAATACAATTTTTTATTAACTTCCCGTAGGGTAAGTTATACTAATCGCAAAAAAAATCGAAAATGAAAATTTTTATATATCTTTACATTTCAGAAGTTTCTGAATATTTTGGCATACCTTAGAAAAATGGATGTATGTGTGTG